AAGGTTTTGGCTGCAGTTTAAAAATGGTTCTTGGCATGCTTTCTTCTGGAATGCAGATATTTTTGGATTTTTTAGGAAGTGGTTCTGCAATTTAAATATATAATTTGGAAGACCCCCTGGAAGGTGGGGCCTCTTATAAGCTGATGGAACAAGAGCACCGAAAGGGCGAGGGGGAGAACAGCGTCAGCGAACAAAACATCAGACCCCCCAGACCATGCCCTGTCAATGCATTTATTTATAAATACCAATTGGAACACAGAGGTGAAGGACTGTTGGTTTCTTCCTCTGCAGTGCTCAGCCTCCTGTGGGAATGGCATTCAGACACGGCGGGATTTCTGCCTCCACTCGCAGACCCGCAGGCACGTGGACCCCGTTTTCTGCCGCCGCTTCCCCAAGGCCATCGTGGTGCGCGGCTGCTCCTCGGGGCCCTGTCCTGAGCAGGTGGGGACAGAGCTGCAGCCAGTGACACCAGCCACGCACCTGACAGCAGCTGCAGCTGGCAGGGAGGAGAGATACAAGAGCCTGGACCTGCCTCCGTCTGCTGTGCCTCAGGAGCAGACAAAGACCGGTGGAGGTGAGGAGGACGCTGCCAAAAGGTGATTCTTGTGTGCAGCTGGGTTGTGGTGACCCTGCTGCTGTACAGGGACCAGGAGCATGGGAGGGGAATGCTTCTGGTGAGGAGGGAAAATATGCTGCTCCAGAATGCCCATGTTATCTTGAGCTAGGAACTCACTTCCCTGTGCTTTCCAAAACTCTTTTGATTTGGGAGCCCTTGGGACAGCAGCTCAAGGGTTCAAGAAGCATTTGGACAACACTCTCGGGCACATGGTGTGATTCCTGGTGTGGCCAGGAGTTGGACTCAGTTGATCCTAGTGTGTCCCTTCCAACTCAGGATATTCCATATGATAGAATACTGTGATTCTGTGACTCTTCCCATGCTTTGCCCAGGTGTGCATTTACCTGTTCATTGTGCCATGAAGGGAATGGGCATTGTTTTTCAGCAGCTGTGATTCCTTCTGGATGTATTTCTCACCTGTCTCCACTCTCCAGGTGTCTGTGGAAACCTGTTCCTCAATGCCACGGGGATCATCAACATGACGGGTGTGGAGAGCAGCGACTGCACCGTGGCCATCGGGCGGCCCCTCGGGGAGGAGATCACACTCAGGATCCTGGAGAGCTCCCTCAACTGCAGTGCAGGTGCTGCCTGGGGCTGCTGGGAACCAGCCTGGCCCTTTGGGAAAGCTGCACCTCCTTTGGTGCCCTGAAAGGTTCCTGCTGCCTTGGAACTTGTGTGATCTCTGAAACTGTTTCACTGAGTTTTTCTGTCCCACTGAGTTGTTGCCAGATGGAGCAAAATGAAGATGATGCTTGTCCTCCCCTCACACAGTGCTTTCTTATCTGTTTTGTTGATAGATAGGAGATGAAAGGAGTTTATTGGGTTGAAGAAGTTGCTTGTTTTGGCCTGTTAGACTCTTAATATACCCTCTTGCTGGAACCAGTACAGTTAGATTAGTTAACTGCACTGTTCTCGTGACAGATTTTGATAAGATAGGGACAAGATGCAGAAATTACTTGATTCCAGACCTGTATGAGATCAGCTGTGCCTTTTTCTTGAAGTAGAAGTGTTTCTAGTCCCTCTGCTCCTCGTTCCAGGTGAGGTAGTGCTGTTTTCTGGGCGGATGATGTGGCGGACAGGCTGCAGGAAGCTCCCTTTGTCCCTGATAAATTCCAGAACGAACACACTGATTGTGAAACAGCGAGTTGTGCTGCCAGGAAACGGGGTCATTCTTCAGTACAGCAGCAGAACTGCAACTAAAAAATATTACCGAGGTACCTCACTGAAAGCTCTGCTATTGCTTTAGATTAAGGCACCCATGACAAGGGGTTCCAGAGTTCCACGGATGATGGTTGCCTATGGAAATCTATGGAAACCTTGCTTCATTTTTAGCAGCTAATAAGCTACTCTTGAGGAGTGTTGGAATTAGTATTAATTGTGCTCTATTCCCTTATTTTAAGGGCAAGCCCTCCACAGGTGTTTGCTGATGCTTGGAGGTTCCCAGATGAAAATCCTTAGAGAAACTGCTCTGTCTCTGTTTAATTTAAATGTTTTCCTTCTTGGAGATGCTGGATACTTCTCTAAAACACATTCTCTTCTGCTCCCTTTGCCCCTGTCAGATTGTGACAAGCAGCTGTTTGGTCCCCAAGGTGAAATAGTGAATCCTGTGCAGTTGGCTGACCAAAGGCAAGAAGACGTGTGTCGGACCTTCATCGACGTGGCTCCCCAGCACCGCATAGCCATCCGTGCCCTCTACACTGACCTGGGCACTGGGGGCAACCACACACACTTCAACTACATCCTGGTGAGTCAGGAACCCACATGGAATGATTTGGATGGGAACAGACCCATCTCCTCCTTTGGGATTTCCGTCCGGTTCAGTCACAAATCAGTGTCAGACTCTGATCTCTGTTATGTAAACACTGACGTGAGTGAGAACTACAGAGATCTACTGTATTTCTTCTAACCTTTGTAGGGCAGCTTTTCCCTGAGTGACCAATTTCCAAGTCTCCAGTATATTTTTTTAGGCGCTTCCTTTGCAGGCTGCTGAGATAAAATGGTTTGGTCTCTCTCCGCTCAGGTCCGTGATGTGAGCACCATGAAGACGATGGTGTTCCATGGGAAACAGCAATTCCTCTGGCAGTCAACAGGAAGCCAAGCTGAAATTGAATTCCATGAAAATGTTAAGGATCACCGAATCAATTTCTGGGCTGAATATCACGCTATTGAGCACAAATAAAAAGGGGCCAGGGCCACTGCACTGAGAAAGGCTGTGGAGCAGTTAGTCACTGCTGCCTGTTCAGTGCTTAAGGGCACACGAGTAATTTAATCTTTTTGCAATTGCTTCCCTGCCTGTTGAGTAAGAACAGTATCTCCTGACTCCTTTGGGACCTCAGTTAATATTGATAAAGGTTATGCAAAAGACTTGTAACCACCAAATATTTAGCAAATATTCCTCATATGGATTTTCTGTCTGTTTTGGTTGGATTTCATGCAGGTGGTGACTTGGACACTGAAGTCTCTGGGTCCTGCTTCTGTAATATGCTGTGACCTCTTAGGAGAGTCATTTAATTTCTCAGTGTCCCAGTACAAACCTCTGTACCCCACCTGTAGCTGCAGTTATGGTTTAGCCATTAAGTTCACTCTCTCGCAGTGTAAACACCCCTCGAAACGGGGGCCCAGTGAAATTTTGCGATGTTACGAAGAAGGCGGAGCTGTGTCTGAGGATGAACTGCCAGCACAGGGAGAGGTGTGCAGGGTAGTGCCACACGAGGACCAAGTCCCTCAAAGCTTGAATGTTTTCAGGAGCTGGCTGAACTTGAGGCACTGCTGACCTGGGCAAGCCAGGTGGCTTTATGTGGGAGGACTAAATGACATCCTGAGGTCCCTCCCCAGCCACCCATTCTGTGCTTCAACTATTATAACAGTGATACCACCACTTCTTTTCTGGGAGAAAAATAAAAGAATTGAGTCTCTTAATGCCAGGTTTGATGCCAAGACTCACTTTTTCAAATATGAACAGTAGTTGTGCTGTTAATCTGTATCTTCATTTCACAGGACCCGTGGTTGAGACTGCATGGGCAAGTTGTAGCAGGGAGAGGGATTTTAGAGCAGTGGCAAATATTAGCTCGAGTTTCATTTAAATGTATTTTTTAGGGGTTTTTTGTTGGTTTTTTTTTTTAAAATATCTTAAACACTGGACTGTGCTTTTTTCCAAATCTGTCATCCTCCAATCACAATATACTGCTTTAGGGGTGTTTTCTGCACCTGGAGCCTGGCTGGACACATCTGCACTTGCTCTTAATGCTGGATGCAATAAATGGTTCTGCCTGGGCAGTTTTAACCCTGCTTCTGCTTTCTCTCAGTTGGATTCTCTGACATCCTTTCACAACCACAAATATTTGTCTTAATTAATAGTTGTTTTTTTTGCCGGTTAAACCTGGATTGGTTTTGCTTGCCAGCCTCCAGATTTACGTTCCATTCCTGGAAGAGCTAGAAAGTAGATTCCTGAAGCGAGATCCTCGAGGAGCTGGATATATCAGCTATCCCACTGCAGTGCGTGGGTGATGCAGGCACTGGGCCTTCATTTCCTGTCTGACAGGAGATGGTAATGAAAGGACATCCTTTCCTTAATCCTTTTTTTTTGTAACCTTCTAGCAGATGGGATCTGTCTTCCTACTCTGCTCTGGATCCCAAGTCTCACTGGTATTTATTGTTCCAGATCAACTGTGCAGAGTTAGGCTCTGGTTACTGACCATGTCCTCCATGTTCATCTGCAAAAAACACAGCTGTTGCCTCCATAATTTAAGAGAATTCAGGGTGTTTCTCTGTACCATTTGTTTGGATTACCAACAGGTTGCCAACTGGGACATCTCCGACGTGCCAAGCCCTACTTCTGCTCCCGTTTTTCTAGGGGGGAAAAAAAAAATTATTCCATTCCAATGAGGGGAGGTGTCCCTCTGTCTCTAGGGGGGGAATTTTGTAACAGTGTTAAATTCACCTTAGTGCAAGGATTCACGTGTCCCTTTCTGGGTGAGCAAACGCTGCCTGCAGGGATAACAACACCCAGGTGTTTGCCAGGGGGATCCAGAGCTCCCGTGCCCCCAGGCCCTGGCGCGGGGGTGCAGAGGCTGTGCCTCTGCTTATGAATATGTACAGAGCGGGCTCTGCCCACCAGCCCTTTAATGAGAGTGACATCAAAGCCCAAAGCCCTGCCTGCTGCCGGGGGGGGGGGGGCCAGAATGCAACACAGGCAGGGAGACGTGGAGGCAGCTCCGCTGGCATCGCTGCTGCTGCTGCAGGCACAGACCCTCCATTGTCAGCCCTGGGGGGGGCCCAGCCCTGCATGGGGGCACGGGGACAGGCCCAGCAGCACCGGGGCCGGGTGTAGGGGCTGTCCCCTGGAAGGAAGGACACGGGGGGGGGTGTCACTTGGAGGGGAGGGGCATCCCGCGCTGCTGGGGCTCAGGTGGGGGAGCGGGGGGATTGCCCCCCGTGAGCCCCCCGGAGCAGGGGGGAGATGAGCGCTCAGGATGAGCAGTTCCCGGCAGCAGCCCCTGAGCCGGCGGCTCCCTCCGCCGATGATGGCATGACCTGGTGGTACAGGTGGCTCTGCAGGATTGCCGGGGTCATCGGGGGCATGTGTAAGTATCCCCTTCCCTCGCAGCCAGAGGTTCCCTCGTGGGCGCTGTTCCTGCATGTGAAAGTGTCGCGGGTCCTGCCACCTCTTGTTTGGGGTCTCGTTGGTGCAGGGGAGGGGGGGGTCGTGCCACGAAAGTCTTTCGGGATTATGGGGTTTGTGTCTGCTCTGGACACTCGTTTTTGCTGCTTTTTTGGGCAGAAGGAGGAGCGGTGGCTGTGCCTGAGGAGGGGTGGTTGTAGCTGCCAGCCGGAGATGTGCTTTGTGCTCACCCGGACCTGAACTTTGGCACCTGGGAGAAAGGGACGTCACGGGGGGGGGAACTGCAAATCCTCGAGTTTCTTCTTGGATATGGCACTCCCTGGAAGTGATGGGAGCAGCAGCTGAGCCTCTGGTACTGCGGGGGAGGGCTGTGGGCAGATAAATGAGAAGATTTTACTGCAAGCACCAGGGTCAGGGTGCTCGTGCTCAGCGGGGTCAGGTCAGGCCTGGAAGAGGGGCCACAGGGCTTGGTTCATCTCTTTTGAGTGTTTATATGTTCCTGCAGCTTATTTTCTTTCCCCATCCTGACTGTTGGAGCGTGTTTCCCATTGCTCCTACTGCTGATTGCACAGGCCTTGCCCGTGGGGTTTTTTGGAGGTGAATAATGGACTTGGTTTGTGTTGTGTGTTTTTAAGGGGTTTGGTAGGACACTGAGAACAGAGCTGCAGACGGCAGAGTGAGTTGGCTGCGCTCTGAATTACCTGCTGCTGAAAAAAATTTTCCCAGGGAAAGAGTCTTTGCAACTTTGCCAGAAATCAGGCTGTCCTGGAGTGCTGTTTTGCTACATTCTGTGGAGAGATTAATAGCTCTTAAAAGCGGGAGGGACTGTTATGACCGCTTAGTCTGATCTCCTGCAGAGCACAGGATGGAGAATTTCTTCTGCTTCAGGTCCACAACTTCGAGTTAAACAAGAGGGTTTCTCAGCCAGTGCAGTCAGCCCTGATTTATTCCATCAGCTGTAGCATTTTGTCTGATCCCCCTCTCTCCCCTCCCAGGCCTGCCTCTCGCCTTGGGACCGCACGAGCCCGCGGCGCTTTCGGAGGCGACATTTGCAGGCCGCGGTGTGGCTGGGCAGGCTGGCGACAGCCCTTTTTTTGGCTGGGCTGGCCAAGCACGTGCTGCTCGCACCGTTTCACGTCTTGGGTGCTGAAATCCTGGAGGTGTGACAGGATTTGGTAGGGCTGCTCCGACGGGGCCAAACATCCCGGCCTCGCCGTGCCCTGCCGGAGGCCCCCGCGCTTCTGGCCCGGCCGCCGGCCAGGACACCAGCTGGGAAGTGTCTGTGGAGCTGGTCCCAGGTGGGGGTTTAGTGGAGCAGCGTCTTTCCCACAGGCTGGGGCTGTAGCTGGAGCCTTTTCCTGCAGTTCTGTCCCGTGCAGAGCTCAGGGGGGACAGGGCTGGAGGGTGAAGAGCTGGAGCGGGCAGGTCACGCCGGTGGCACTGCCCGCCTCGTGCTAGAGCAGCTCACGAGGGGCTTAAAAAGTGCAAGCCTCTGGAGACTTCTTTTTTTTTTTTCTCCCCTCTGTCTTCGTGTTTCAAAGCAGCTGAATTATACTTGGATTATTTTTCCAACCTTTTGTTCACAGCTCTGAGAACTCTTGACTTGTTTTTACAGGAAAGCCGAGAGTTTTACGTATTTGGGTGAGTCTGGGAGAAGAAGCTTTTGGAAGAAGAGACAGGTTCTTAACAGGATTGCCAAAAATCTGGGGAGTGACAGCTTGTTCCGTAGCCCTGACTGTCTCCCTCCATGAGGTTTGTGAGGCAGTGAGACACAAACTCTCCTTATGAGCAGGGAAATGGGGGACTGTGGGAAGAGACAACCAGTGCCCTGTGCTGGTAACGTTCCTCTTCAAAATGCTGCTTGTTCAGCGTCACCTTGTTGAAGGTGGATGGTTTGGAGAAGAGGTGCTGAATAAAAACAGCAAGGCTGGAGTTTGTTGCTATTCTCAGAGCTTGCTATGAAAGAACAGAACTCATTTACAAGGACTGTGGTGCTGCTACAGGGGTGGATTATTTCTTAGAGAAGGAAAAATTCCCCATAGAAAGGAAGAGAAACTTTCTAAGTGGAGGTGAGACCAGCAGACAACATCTACCACATGCAAACACCTGCAGCCACAACTTGCTTAAGCCAGAAAAGTCCAGGGGCTGGAGCAGGAACCAGACAGACAAGGTTCAGGATCTGTCTCTGGCTCTTGCACACGCTGGCTTGGTGACCTTGGCCAAGTCCCTTCTCTCCCTTGTGTTCCTGTTTGTAATAGGACGAGGAGAGTCTGTGGCTTTTATAAAATGCTCTAGGAGCAAAAATAGGCTTGTGTTGAGGACAGTGACCAGCTGCTGGAAATGAATAGAGCCTTTGTGGGGAAGGGTGTCCTTCCCCCCTCATTTTAGCTCCCAGTTATTTGTGCTTCCTCAGGGATTCGAGATGGGACAGCAGTTAAACAAATGGCAGAACTGTCTGTCTTTCACAGCTGACGTGCCACTGAGCATTATCTGCATTTTAACCCTATCATGAGGCCTCTGTTTTGCAGAAAGAAACCCCTGGCTTGGCAGCTCAGTCCCCTCTTGGCTGCTGAGGCAGGAGCTGATCCTGCCCCGGTGGGACAGGGATGTACCAGGCTGCTGTGGGATGTGCTGCTCTGCAAAGGAGGCCCAAGGTCACTGGCTCGTTATCTGCCTCTGTGGCTGTTGGCAGCCACCTCCGAGTGCAGTGTTCTGAAATCCCAAACCTTTGACTCCCTTCCTGCTGGTTGGTGCTCCTGCTGACGTAGGGACTTGCTCAGCTCAGGCTTCCTGGTTCATTAGTCCATTGGCAACTGGGTTGGTTGCTGAGCTGACGCTGCTGCAGGGACACTTAGTGCTCGAGGGTTGTTTTGGGGTGTTTGAGGACCAAACCAAACCAGAACCCTGGCAAAACAACCCCTGGTTGGCTTGGCTAAAAAAAAAAAAAAGGATAAGGACAAAAACTTGCTTGGAAGAGAACATTCTGCTTCCCTTGGTTTGTTCTGTGGTGCAGACCAGCTGGGAACTGCCTGGACCTCTATGCTCTGCTGTGCTGCTCAGCCAGGCAGGGTCTTACCCCAACCCTGGCTGTGTTTTGGGGATAGTTCTGCTGCTCTGCTAATTATAAAGTGCCAGAAAGTCGTTCAGCATTATTGTCAGGAGTGTGCTTTCCTGGGAAGGAGCGAGTGCCACAAGCCTGCAGTGCTTCCCCTGAGCTCCCCTTCCATCAGCATCCAAGGGTTTGTTTGCCACAGAGAATTAGAACCCCCAGTGTTGTGCCCCGCTCTCTGTGCTGCTCCCAGCAATCCTGCTTCCAATTGCTTTTCCAGCTCTCCAGCTGTTTGCGTGTGTGACTTTGGAGTAGATCATCCCACCCCCGTGCCTCAGTTTCTCCTGCAGTGTGGGGACACTGACACTGGTCCCTCTGAGATGGGAGGATGAGAAGCGCCCTTGGAGCATGGATGTTCATATGTCCTCTGGCATTTCTGCTGGCTGATCTTGTTCTGGCAGGATTCTCCAAAAGATTTTGGGTCCTGGGGAATTAGTTCTAGGAAACGTTTGAAATTAACCTTGTTTGGTGTTTCCTAAAACCAGGAGGTCATTTGCTTGTGGGATGACCTTCGATCGATCCTGTCGTTGCCTGCAATTCTGCTTGCCAGCCCGGTAAATAAGGATAACTATTTTTAAAGGAACTTTGAGGATTCAGCAGTGACTGCTTGAAAGAAACCTTGAAGCCTATGCCAGGCTTTTGAAGGTCAGGGCTGCTCACAGCAGCTCTGCTCAGGGATACCCCTGAAATCCCTGATCCCAGGCTACTCTCATTCTCAGAGAGGGACTCTGCTGCTCTCCACCGTGCTGCTGATCTACCCCAAAAAGGCCTTTAAGGGCTGTAGAATTAATTTTAGCTGGAGTTTTGCAGGCTGGTGTTGTTTACTGTGGACTCAGCCCGTGTCTCTGCCCTCCCACCTGGGCTCGGGTTCCCGGTGTGCAGCGGTCTCCGTCTGGCATCAGCAGAGAGAAGGGGTTGTATCAGGTGCCAGGAACACTCTGCAAGTTTAATGAGGCAGGAAGGAGGTGGTGGCAGCTCTGCTTGGTCGCTGCTGCCTGGTTCCTCTCCTTGGGTTAGAGTCAGGAGTGCTGGGGCTATTTTGGACTCTGCTTTATTTGCTTCCATTTGTATTAGCAGAGATGCCGAACTTGGCTTTTTTCTGCCCATCTCTAGTGGAGCTGCACAGGACCAGCAGCATGTGGTGGAGACAGGGTTCACCTCTACTCTGTTTATTGTTTGCCTGTGTGCAAGTCCTGTTTGTGCTGAACTTTCCCTGTGCTGGTCAGAGGTGGTGCCTGCTGGCACTGCTTGCTTCACTCCGGGACAAAGCAGTAATTCCTTGCACATAAAAATCAGGTGCACGTAAAAATCATGTAAAAGGAAACACTTTGCTGTTCTACACAAGGGAAATAGTCGTGCAAGTGTCATGCTGAGACACCCAAGTGCTTGGAGCAAAAGGATACCCAGTCAGAGGAGCTGGGAGGAAACCCTCTCCCGGGCTCCTTTCAGACCATCAGAACTTTCCACCCACCCTCCTGTGTTTCTCTGCAGTGCCTAGAGGTGCTGGCCAAGGGCTCCTGATCGTGGGCATGCAAGGTTGTGTTCGTGGTCACTGAAAACCTCTTTCTTTCCAGCCTGTGCCATCGCTGGTCTCTGGAACTGTGTAACCATCAACCCCCTCAACATCGCGGCCGGCGTGTGGATGATGTGAGCAGAGTTTGCTTTTGTTCTTCTGCTGGGAGGAAAGTTCTGTTAGTGAGAGTCCTCTGAGGAAGGGGCAGAGCTGCTCTGCTTGGGCAGTGGATGGGAGCAAAACATCCCTCAGACTCTGGGAATTCCCAGGTCTTGCTCTGCCAGGCGGGTTGAGATGTTGAGTTTATTCTATTTGTTATTTCTTTATGTCTTTTGGGGTAAATACTCAGATACACTTGTCCAAAATAAGCATAGAGCACCAGGGTTTGGGAATTATCAAGGAGAAGGGGGGGAGCACCGTGGGGTCCAGCCTCACCATTCCCTTCACCTGCATTTGGGCGTGGAGCAGGTGGTCTCTGGGGGGCTGGAGGGGAATTGCTGACCCCCACTCCGGGCTGGATTAACTCTGTTTTGCTCTGTCTGGAGGCTCAACGCCTTTGTCCTGTTCCTGTGTGAAGCCCCTTTCTGCTGCCAGTTCATCGAGTTCGCCAACGCCGTCTCCGCCAGGGCGGACAAGCTGCGGGCCTGGCAGAAAGCGGCTTTTTACTGCGGGTGAGGACGCTCCGGGCTGCTGGTGGGGGTGCACGTGGGCACAGCGGGGGATATGAGCATCTCTGCACCCTGTGGGGAGGGGAGCCAGGCTCTGAGGGCTGCCTCTGTCTTCCAGGATGGCCGTGTTCCCCGTCATGCTCAGCCTGACGCTGACCACGCTCTTCGGAAACGCCATCGCCTTCGCCACCGGGGTCCTTTACGGTCTGTCGGCGCTGGGCAAGAAGTAAGAGACGTTTGTCTGCCTGGGGAGGGGGAGGTGGAGGTGGAGCTCCAGCCCTCGCCCCGTCTGCCTCCCCAAGGCTCTGCTTTCCTCTTGCACTACCTGTGCTTTCGGGTGTAAACGCTCCTGGAGGAAATCTCCCCGGCATCATCCCAGAGCCCTGGGGAGGAAGGCCCCAGGGTCTGCTGAAGCTCTGAGCTTTTGGGAGTTCAGATGAGGTTGCCCTGAGGGTCCCAACCCTCTTTCTGCAGCTGTTGAGTGGATGGGCCCATCTCTGGGGCAATGAGCAGCTTTGGTGGGGTGTTGGGAGGGCCAGCAGCTCTCGTTTCCCTGTTGGCATCCCTCAGCACGGATGGCCAGGGGTGAGCCAGGTGGAGCCGGGCCCCAGCTGGGAGACATCTCTGCCAGGGGCTGTACCCACCATGGTGGGCACCTGGAGTTCACACCCCCATGCTGTCCCTTCTCTCCGCAGGGGAGATGCCATTTCCTACGCTCGGATCCACCAGCAGCAGAAGCAAATGGATGAGGAGAAGCTCACGGGGACCCTGGAGGGACAGGCTCTCTGAGGCACACGGGGTAACCTCTCCTGAACACTGAGATGGTGAAGATACGGAAATCCACTCTGCCCTTCCCTGTGCCTGCTCCCCTCTCTGCTACGCCGCGATTTCCCTGGACGCTGCAGCAACTGGAAATCTCAGGGGCTGGGGCAGGCTGTGCCCTCTTCTCACACCAGCAGCCAGACCTCAGCGTGTTGGTCCCTCTCTCCTCCTCAACCCTCAACCAAATATGTCACAGTCCCTTTATTTTTTTAATTTTTTTTTTTTTTTTTCTGCTGCAGAGGTGCTGGCTCTCTGAGTGCTGCTTTCCCAGCCTGAACAGGCAGCCTTTTTTTTGGGAGTGACCCTTCGGAAACTGCTCTCTGGATGGGTGAGGAGGGGCAGAGGTGACCTGCCAGCTCCTTGCCTGTGCTGGTCTTGTGGGAAAGGACTTCCAGAAAAAAAAACATAAAAGACAATAACCATCTCTGCAGAGGAGCTGCCAGAGGTGCTGGGGCAGATCCTGGGACCTACAAAGCACAGTCCCTGCTTCCTCTGGACACAGCTGCAGGCAGTTACTGTGATTTACTTGAATTATAAGAATTAATTTCTTTGTCTTAATAAGGGCACTTTTCTTAAGCTTCACTCTTTTACTGGGGCAGAAGGGAAACAATGTTTGCTGTACCTCAGCTGGAGAAGGGTTTTGTTGCTTGAGCCAAGTGGGATTTTTTGCTGGTGTGAGCATCCTTCTCCTGTGAGCCTGGGACCCATCCCTCTGTGGAAGGGACCTGCTCTTTGCTTGCCTGGTACAGCCTTTGTCTTTGGGCTCGTGTTCTTTTGGCATCAGTCCTGAGCTGCACCATTTTGTTGTGGACAGCTGGGGTGTCTTGCTTTATTATTCCAGGCTCTGTCAATGGTTTTCATGTTGTACTTTCTGTTTGCTTTGTACCAGGCAACACAGAACTGTTCCAGAGCCCCCTCTTCTCATCACGGTTTCTTCTGGGGGGGGGAGTTAATTTATTTGATTTTTACATGGTTGCTTTTTGTTTTGGTTGGGAAAAAGGGGAATAATTTATTTCTAGTTATTTAAGTATTTTGATGGGACTCATTTTCTCTGGATGTAGGAGAAAGGAGTGCTCTGTTTCCTGTCCTTCAAAGGGCTGCCCCTTTCACCAGGGGTCTCTTTCACCAGGGACAGCCCTGGCTGCTGTAACAGGAATGCTGCAAAATCCAATTTCAGCCTTCAGAGCATTACTCAGACTTCTCTTGAAAAGTGTGTTATCCTTTGACCCCTTTGTCTTGTTCTGGGTCACTGACTTGAGAAAGTGTGTTTTCCCCCTCTTCTGGGAGAGGGAAGGAAGGAAAACTGGGCTGTAACTGCTGGGTTGGAGCTGCCACAACCCTTTGTGTCCCCAGCAGCTCTGGGGAGCAGAGGGGTTGTGCTGTGGCCTGAGAAGGGCTGGGGGCTGAGTGCTGTTTGGGGTTTGGGGAGTTCTGTAGTGTTTAGTAGAGGAATGTTGCAGACTGGTGCACGTAGCCACGAGCATGTCTTTGGTAGTGACTGCTTTGCTCTGTGAGTAGTTCCACAGCAGCTTTAGTGGCAGGAGGTGAAAGGCAAAGCACAGGCTTTGGGGTAACACTTGCAGGCTGCTCTGAGGGGCCACAGAACCGGTGGGACCCTTGTGCCTTCACCTGACTGTCCTGATGCCAGGGACCAGCAGTGGTCCCTGGGGCTGGGGCAGGCAGGTGCTGCTCCAGGTCACCTGGAGGGCTGCTTGGCACAGACAGGCCCTCTCTGCTCCCTTGGCACCGAGGCAGAAGTCCCTTGGATGCCAACGGTGCTGTCATGGTGTGTTTTGTGGCAGAGGGGCCTGACCCTGGGGCTGAGGCAAGTGAACAATCTGCATCAATCTGCCACTGTGAGGGGGATGCAAAGCTCAACTCTGAGCTGAAAATGGGCCTCAGGGACTCTTCTGAAAAACAGCCAAGCTGGAGCCTTCAGCCACAGTGCTTGAAGTGTCTCTGTGCCTGCCACAACGGGGCGAGTCACAGATCTGTGCTCCAAGAGTGCTGACTCCTACAGGTGCCTGTCTGGAGTGGGAACTCTTGGGAATTTTGGCTGTCTGATGCAGCTGAAACCAAGCCACGTGCTGTCATCATTGCAGACAGGCTTGGAGACAGCACCCATGGCTTTTAAGAGTTGTAGCAAGAGTTAGTGTTTGGTCTCACCTCCGTGTGGGCAAGAAACTGTTTTGTGGAGATAGAAAGGACCTTTAGAGTAGTAGCATCACAGTAGTTAACGTGCCCATTCACAGTGCATGGTGGTTATTAGTTGTGTTTAGAGGCACCCTCGGGGTGCCTGGAGCTGTGTAAGGACAAATGAAGTTCAGACCCTGCTCTGGAGGTTTTACAGGCTCGACCTAATCCCTGCTGATGGCATCCAGGCTGGATGGCTGATCCACAGGGTGTCTGTGGAAGAGGTTCTGCTTGCCAGGTTTGGAAAAGGCTTCCTGGGAGACCATGGGATAGAAAGTTTGTTATGTGAGAGCTCAGGAGAGGGCGATGCATTGGCTACAGTGAGCTGTTGGCACCTGGGCACTGGCAGCACACGTGCCCCTGGCAGTGGGCTGTTACACCAGTCACCACATGAGCATTTACACAGAGTGCAACCATTCCATGTCCTGTTCAGCCATGGAGCTGACAGCACTCGTGCCTGTCAGCTCCACTGTCCCCTGGGGCTGCCCACTGGGCGTGAAGAGCAGAGCAGAGCTCGCTCTCTGCTGCAGGCCCAGACCTCGCTGCTCTGGGCAGGAGCTGGTTTTGTAACACCAATTGATTCTCTGTGTGTGCAGTGAATAAAAAGACCATTCTACCTCTGGAAAGAGCCACTGTGATTTCTCAGACTCTAAAATGTTGTAGCAAAACCCCTCAGACTTTCTATACTGAAGAAGGGAGGTCACTCAGAAAATACTTCTCCAGTGAGGTTCTCACAGGACCTGAAGAGTCCAACCTCATTTCATATTTGGGCATTTTCTCCTTAGGCTGAGCCCTGGGAAGCTCAATTCATCTTTGTCATTTTTTCCTCAGGAAAAAAAACATCCACTGTCTTCAGGGAAGGGTTTCACTGAAGATATCAAGACCTGGTCCATGGCCATGTGAGAAAGAGAACTTTCTAGCACAGGGCTGCCAGAGATCCTGAGCTTCAGAAGGTCAGTGGAAACCAGAGGCTCTTGAGAGCTCTGATAGTCAGGCCATGCTTAGAAACAGTCATATTCCAGCCAGGGCTGAATATCTTTCTGGAAAAGGGTCTCAGCAGCAAAGGGTGGGTTTAATACTGAATGTTCTCTGTGTTTTTTATTTTGACCCATCTCTCTTCCTCTGTCCCAGGCTGCTTTAAATTAATGCTGTGATAAAGCACATCTTCTCTTAGGTGATTTCTCTCATCTGCTGCTGCAGGGGATCTAAATGGCAGCTGGCATATCTTAAGGGCTGGGTCACATATGCTGTTTTACCCCCTGCTTCCTTGTGACAGCAGGTTTAATGTTCCAAGAATGGGAGAGTACAGCCATCTCCACCAGCCCTGAGGGTGCCAAGTGCATTTCAGGAGGTTGGACAAATGCCTGGGCACATCATCTCCCAGCTCAGCCTTTGTTGTTCTGCCCTTTTGGGAGGAGTTAGGTTGGATGTGAGACTCAGCAAGGCCATTAGTTCCTCACCGTCATAACCTCCTCCTGCAGCTGTGTTTTACCTAGGGTTGAGCTCTGAAAGATAATTGAAAAAAGACCTTAATCTTGCAGGACACACAGGAAAAAGGGGTCAGAGCAATTTGCTCCTAACTGTGCAGCTGAAATCTCAAAGTGATGGAGGCTCCACACAACCGTGGTGGAGGCACATCCACCTTTCTCTTTGTGGATGAGTAAAACCCTGTGGTGGGAAGGACCCACCCCCATACCAAGTGTTGTCAATACTCACTGTGTCTTTCCTACAGTGTATCACTTGCACTACAGCTGAATGTTTGTCTGTTCCCGTTCTTTTGTCCTGGGTTTTCCTTGTGAACTGTATTTGGTCCTGATCATTAGGCTTCTAGTGTTATGTGTGTTTTTAGAGCAATAAAACGTGGCAGCTTTTTATACAAAATACCTGGCTCTGCCTCTTTCACAGTCCTTGAGTACACAAGACTCAAGGAAGGTGCAGTCTGCTGTGCTCCCCTTGCCACAGTCCTGCTCTGCCCCTCCTACCCCACCCACCAGCAGCTCCCTTCTCCCTAAATCAAGACAGCACCTTGCAGTTGGAGGCGAAACTGGTTTATTCTTGCAACTGCATGATGAGCTTTTGCCAGAACGGTGCTAGCTCCAGGTGCTAGCTCTGCTCCAGCCAAACCCTCAGGCTCTCGGGCTGCTTTGGTGGCTGCTGAGCACAGGATGTCCGAGCTCTCCTGCCCGCAGCCTCGCCTCTTATCTTCCAGGACACCTTTATCTCCAGCCTGGCACCGTTTCCCTGGCCCCATCCATGGGTTGACACGTTGCCCAGAGGGCAACAGGTAGTGTTGAGTGACGGGAAGAGAAGGTAAAGTTCCATTTGGCACCTTCCGCACCCGAAGCGAGACGATCATCGCCTCCCGTTCCTCTCCTGGTGCCGTCACGGGCAGCTCCAGCCTCCACCTCCAGCAGCACCACGTTTGCTTTGCCCTCGAGCCTGTGGATGGGCGGCCTGGCACGGCTGGTGCTGGGTGGCAGCTCCTACCTCCTCATGAACGACCTCCGGCCAGTCCTGAAGAAGGCCTCGATCTGCTCCAGGGACCTGCCCTTGGTTTCGGGGACGCAGCAGCCCGTGAATAAGATGTTCCCAGCACTGATGACAGCGAAGAACAGGAAGGGCACCTCGAGGCCGAAGGCGTTCTGGAAGGGGGACAGATGGCAGATGTGAGCCGGAGCAGATGGGCCAAGGTGGGGCTGCTGGACACCCTCCCTGGGCAGTACCCACCACGACTGGCAGGAAGAACTGGGTCAGGGTGAAGGCTGTCAGCCAGCTCACGATGACACAGAGGCCTGAGGCCACCCCTCGGGCTTTCAGAGGGAGGATCTCTGACATCAGCAGCCAGGTGATGGGGCCCCAGCCCAAGGCATAACCTGCAGGGGAGGAGGGTAAGGTGAGGCTGCCGAGGCTTCAAAGCTCACCGAGGAGTGCAGAAGTGTGTGTGAAATCCTGCCCTGCAACCCCAGCAATCATTATCTCCCCCACTCCTGCTGTCAGTCCTTGAAGCAACTTCAGTTGCCATCTTTCTTTCTCTTCAGGGTCATCTGCCTGCCTTCCAACTCCAAACCCAACCTCCTTGAGCCTCAGATGAGAAACATCCCCCAGCTGGTCCCCAGCCCTGTGCTGGGGGTCCTGGGCTCTCTGCACCTACCCATTATGAAGAACATGGTTGCCAGGAGGGGGATGAGGGTGATGTAGTTGGTTGGCTCAGCAGGAAGGCTGGCAGAGCTCACCAGGGTCTGGTTGGCAATGGTGCTGTTGTGAGAAACTGGCATGAAGTGGATATAGATCCCCATGGTCAGGTTGGAGGCCAACATGACACCAGCTGTGGATAGATACAACAGCAAAGTGGGAACAATTGGTGAGTGATCCCCTCCATGCCGAGGACTGGGCTCCTGAAAAAACCTCTGCTGAGGAGCTGAGCCACCACTGAGGGAAAGAGACCGCCCCACCTCCCTTCCTGAGTCCTGTAGGGCTGAATTTTTGCCTTCTGCATATTTGCAGAGCTCTTGGAAATCCTTAAATAAGAGCTTCCTTTGCACAACAGTGGGAGGAAGACACACCTGATACGAAGAGAAGAATCTTCCTCCCAGCTTTATCCATCGACACGGCAGCGATCGCCACCGAGAACAGACGTACCAAGCCAACAAGAGCTGCATCATACTCTGGTTTCTGCAAAAAAAAGCCCAGGGGAAGCTGAGCTGGGACAGCCAGGGAAGGGGAAAATTGCTACAGGTGCTGCCTTGACCTGGCTGATGACTTGGCCAAAGCCATTCTCCTTGTAAGAAACTGGAGAAGATATTCCTGAAGCTCAGAGGAGGAGAGCAGGGACACAGTGAGGCTGGTCCTGCTCCCCATCCTCATGCAGCCTCTTGCAGGGCAGGTGCTTGGCAATTGCTGCCAACCACGTGCTTTAAAAAAAAACTGCTTCCCAGTTGGGATCTTGTGTCTGTAGGGGACTTGGAGCATTGGGCAACCATCCCTGCAGCCAAGGCAGCCCGAGCAGGGGCTGAACCCCAGGGCTCACCAGGATCACGGATGTTCTCTTGAATATTGACTGCAGGTACACGAGGATGCAGGTGACACCTGAGAGCTGCTGCAGGAACCTCATTACCCCTGCAATCAGGATGGGCTTGTAAAGGAAGGGGTCCTTGATCTCAGCACAGGAGACACGACGGCTCTGGAGGGGACAAAGCCAGAAACCCGAAGTGTTAGCACCTCTGGGCACCACTGGGGCACCCAGAGGACGGCTTAGGAGTTACCCAAAGGATGGATTTTGCAGTTTTCATGTTACATTTCCCTGTGCTGGCTTTGAGCCTCCTCACCTGCTTCCTCACACTGTCCTTGATCTGCTCATATTCCCGGGCATAGTCTGTGTCTTTGCCCCGCAGCCAGCACAGGGAGCCCAGGGCCTCCTCCTCCTTCCCCTGGGACAGCAGGAACCGGGGAGAGTTGGGCATGAAGCAGAGCAGGATGATCATGGCAAGCACTGGCACCTCCCCAGCGACGGCCAGCCAGCGCCAGTCCAGGACCAGCCCTGCCAGAGCAGAACAGTTAGGGGGGGAAAGCACACAGGGGTGGGTGTCCTGGCCCTGCCTCCACCTGGGCACCCCAATAATTTGTAATAATTAAAAAAAAATTAATTCATATATTTTCTCCTAGAAAAGTAGCATTTCCAGCTGTATGATATGGGGAAATTTAGCACCCCTGTGGTGGTTGGATGTGAGGGGAATAATCCATCAACCAGCTGAGAAAGTTGCTTATTTTCAACTCCCCTTCCCTGCAGTCCCACTGAGGGTTTCCTGCCCCCAGAACACCGAGATACTTGCCCAGGGCATACAGGACGAGGGAGCCCAGCACTGCCATGATCTGAGGGCAGGCACCCAGCATGCCCCTGACCCCGGGGTGAGAGATCTCCGAGATGTAAACCTGCAGAGAGGACAACACACGCTTTACAGAGCATCAACATCAAACTTGTCACCCCCCCAAGCCTGCCCTCTGTCACTTTGCCGTCGTCCCCGGTGGGCAAGGGAAACTCAAATTGCTGGGAAATTGCCCTCTTGGGGCGGAGAGCCGAGTGGTCCAGCGGAACGAGCTGTCCTGGCTGGGGGTGAGGACAATCTGGCCCGCACCGCCACTTCCCTCCCTTCCCCCGGCACGGGAGAAGTGCCTGGACCCTGTTACTGGGAAGAAGTGCCCTGGTGTTACTCAATCCTTGCCTTCCCCTCTGCACCAAACGCGAGGGCGGTGCTTGGGAGGAAAGCACCCCGGAGGGTTTAGGACCTGCCTTTGCTTTTCTGCGGGCGAGACAGTCCTGCACCGGCTCAGGCTGGCCACGCCGGGGCTGCTAACCCGGTGCACCGTCCCCATTCTCCCAGCCACAGCCCTGCAGCTCTGCCGATGCCTCAGCTACAGCACCGCGGCATCTCCCGCCCTGCGATTCCCTGGCAAGCTCCCTCCCGCGGCACTTTACCGGGATGGAGGCGGAGGTCACTCCGCCGGCGTAGCCCGTCAGCACCCGGCCCAGCAGCAGCATCCAGACGCCCTGGGCGCTGGCCATCAGCGCGTATCCCACGGCCGAGGGCAGCGCCGAGAACATGATGCTCAGCTTGCGGCCCAGGCAGTCGTTGAGCATCATGGTGCTGAGCCCCCCCGCCGCCGCTCCCAGCGTGAACACCGACTGCAGGGGCACCGAGAGGGGCTGTGGTGAGACCGGGCTCACCCCCCCGGCCCTGCCCCACGCCCCGGCAGGGACAGCCCCGCTGCTCACCCCGAACCAGGGCGCTGTGTGCTGGTCCAGCCTCAGCGCGGGGCTGGGATGAGCCTCCAGGGCAGGGATGACGGGCGAGGGGTAAACCAGGGCGAAGCCGAAGCTGAAGTTCCCCAGGACAGCGGCAAACACGGCCAGGTAGAGCCGCTGGTTGTGGAGGCTCCTGAGGGAGGGACGGAGAGAGAAAAGGATGTGTTGGGCGCCCTTATTCCACCCAGCAGAAGTTTAAATTCTGTCCTGCAGCTTCCCTCAGCCTTTGCCGAGGCCCTCGTGATGCTTGTGGAGGGATTTTCCTGGGGAATGCCTCTGCACAGCTCTGGGCTGGTGGGGTTTCTCTGAGCTCCTGCTGCGTGGTGGGAGATCCTGTCTCCCCTGGGCACCACTGATCCTTCCCTCTGTGCCAGGTGGTGTTCGGAGGGTTCAACAAATCAAGAAAAGCAGAAGCTGGAGCTGAGTGGCCCCACAGACCCAGCTGGCAGCTGGCTCGTCCCGGCAGAGCAGGGAGAAGGTTCTTTCAAAGCCCCCCGTGCCCCCCAGCAGGACCTCATGCCCCCCATGGCAGTCACAGCCCCAAATCACACCAACCCATCGGTCTTCCAAGTGGGCTCATCCAGCACCCACACTCTTGGTAAGGACAAGACCCCATCTCGAGGCGGCTTGGAAGGAGCAGCACCACGAAATAGCTCTTCCACTCAGCTCCCTCCAGCCCAGTGCCCTCGGGATGGGGGGCACAGCCCACCCCGTGGCTCCAACCTGGCCCTTACCGCAGGTACTCCTTGTCGAGCCTCCTGACAGTGCTCTCGGGGAAGGTCTGGTACGAGGAGCTCGTTTTCCTCACCAGGGGCTCCCGTGCACTCGGATCCATGGCAGTGCCTGGTGCCTGTTGTGCTGCTGCGCCCGGGGCGGATGCTGGGGCTGCCCACGGGGAAGGGGAGGAAGAGGCAGCTGAAAACGAAAGGGGAGAGGCTGCCTGGCCTTGCCTAATCAGAGAAATCTGTGCCTCGTGGGTTTGAGCCTGGCTGGCCCCCGAGAGGAAACTGGGGGGGGGCCGGAAAACCGGCAGGAAAAGGCCCACGGGGTGACAATGGTACCACGGGGTGACAATGGTGCCCTAAAGTCTTC